GGGGAGGGGGTGGGGTGGGGGTGAGGAGGGGGGAAGGGTGGGGGCGGGGGCATCCTCGGGGTGGGGGGGAGGAGCAGGGGAGGGGAGGGCAGCGGAGGGGAGAAAGTAAGGGGGTTCTTATGCCAGATTGAGGATTTTACAAGTAAGTGAGAGGGTTGGGAGTTGGATTGCTGCTGAGTGGGAGAGAGAAATTGGAGGTTGGGAATAGTGACCACATGTGAGGGGGTGGTGGGCAATGCAGATAATATGGGTGTGAGAGGGTTGTGAGTGACCATGTGGGTTTCTAAATTTGATGCTCCATGTCTGAATGGGAATGTGGGAGTGACAGCAAACCTGTTTGTAATTTGAGTTATGCTTCAGCCATCTGAAAAGTTCAAAATCGCTTTAAACAAGTGGTTACCTTGAAGTCTATGGGGATCCTATAACATCAAATTCAGAATTGTTCCAATTCTCTGAGTTCCACTGATCGGATTTCAGCAGGCTAATGGAGGGACATGTTGTGATAGGGATTAGGTTTGGAGTGGATCCCAGTTCTGATCTCGAATCTGATATTGGGTGGTGAGTGTACAGGTGTTTCATGTTCAAGAGTGAACAATGTGGGGTGGTCAACAACAGTTTCACCTCCCTCTATCATCCAGTTCTTGTCATCACATCTGTTTTTATATGATTTGGTATTCTCTCATTCCTAGTGCTGCCCTGTATTGAAATGCCATTCAAGTCTGCATGGTGGAGGTCACTGTGCAATGAGTGCTACTGCAATAAACTGCAGAGCTGTCAGACCTGTAACTTAGTGCAGAAACAATAGTAGTCCTTCCCAGATTTCTTTTTATCTCCACTATGACCCTATTTTGAAGCTTGAAATATGCCATGACCCCCCGAAGGAGAGTGTGGTGGGAGTTGGAATAAGTGCTGCGAGAGCTGAAGGCATTGGGAGATTTGTGAGAGATTGAATAGTGAGGTAGAGCATGGTGGAAAGTGTTTGTACTGCAGAGTCTATTAAACGAAATATCCTTTTCTCTGGCTTTTTTTTTGGAGCAGGAGTTGGGCCTCAGATATATTCCCATTAGGCCACACTCACTACTTATAAAAAATCATGAGGACTTGAAGGGGCTTCCCAGTTGATAGTGCTCAGGTTAAGCTCCAGAACAGCCGGTGACCCCAAAATCTATTTCACAAACCTATCTGAGCTACAGCGGATTCAGCAGAAAACCAAATTGTTCAGACACCTAGGAGGGCTTTAAGCCCCTTGAGTCTGCGCTGGGTTCTTTTGAAAGAGCTATCTACTTAGACCCATTTCTGTTGTGCTTTCCCCGGCCTTATAATTTTCTCTTTTCAGTTGTATCCTTTTGAAAGTGACGACTGAATTTGTATATAAATTGCAAGATGTTAGTATGCAGTACAGCAGCATTCAGGGAAAATAAGTAGATGGCAGGTAACTTGAATAGATATTTTGCATTTGTCTTCACTATGGAAGATGTGATGGAACAGGTTTGAGGGACTAATTCAATATGTTTGTGTCTATGTTCCTCAGTGATCAGCAAGGCAAGTGGAATGTAATTTATTTCAAGGTGGTTGGAGTATTAAAATAGGGGTGTTTTGCGCAGTTGTATAGTGCGTTGATGAGGCTTGTGGAGTACGCTCCACAGTTTTGGGCTCCTTTATTTAAGTAAGGACGCACATGTGTTTCAAAGCATTTGAAAAAGGCTCACTTGACTGATATTTGGGATGAGGCGTGTGGGTGTTAGCTTTTGAGGAAAGTTTCAGCCAGTGTCTATTGCAGAAGAATGAGCTTATTGAAACAATAAGATCCTGAAGGAAATTGACAAGGTGCATTCTGAAAAGCTGTCTCTCCTGGGAGAGACTAGATCTAGGAAACACAGTTTAAAAATGAAGGGTTGCTCAGTTGAGAGGGAGATGAGAATGTTTTCTTTGGAACTCTCATCCCCAGAGAGCATTGGAGGAAGGAAAATTGAATGCAGTTTGGAAGAATAAGGATGTATTTTTGCAGCTGCACAAGGCCTTGGCAAGATCACACCTGAGGTAGTGCGTGCTGTTTTGGTCTCCTTACCAAAGAACAAATATGCTTGCCATAGCGGATGTGCAGCAAAGATTCATCAGACTTATGCCACGGGTGGCAGGTTTGTTTTATGAGGAGAAATTGGGTCACTGGAGTTTTTTTAGAAGATTGTGAGGTGATATCATTCAAATGTACAAAATTCTAAGAAGGCTTATCAGATTGGATACAGGGACAATGTTTGTTCATAGAATCCCTACAATGTGGAAACAGGCCCTTTGGCCCAACAAGTCTACATCGACCCTTGGAGCATCCCACCCAGACCCATCCCCCGATAACCCACCTAATCTACACATCCGTGAACACTACGGGCAAATTAGCACGGCCAATCCACCTAGCCTGCACATCTTTTGGACTGTGGGAGGAAACCGGAGCACCCGGAGGAAACCCACTCAGACACAGGGAGAACGTGCAAACTCCACACAGACAGTCGTCCGAGGGTGAAATCAAACCCAGGACCCTGGCACTGTGAGGCAGCAGTGCTAACCACTGAGCCACTATGCCGCCCCATTCTGGCTCCAGAACAAGGAGTTATGTTCTCAGGATAATGGGTAGGTCATTTCAGACTGAAATGAGAAGAGGTTTCTTCACTCAGACAGTGGTGCACCTGAGGAATTCTGTTCTGCAAGGCTGTGCAGTGTGAGTAATTTAATATATTTAAGAAAGGAATAGGTTTCTAGACAGTGTTTAAGGGTATTAGGAGAACCTGAGTGTGGTGTTGAGATAGAGGGTAAGCCATGATCATATTGAATGGCAGAGTGGGCTCAATGAGGCAAATAACCTACTGTTGCTGAAGGCTTCTGTGTTTGCGCTCTTATAAAACATGGATAGGTAGGAATACAGAGTTGAGGTCACACCCAGATCAGCCATGATCTAATTGGCAGAAAAGGCATGAAGTGGCCAAATGGTCTAATTCACCTAATTTGTGTGTTTGAATGCTTCCACCTGTTTACTTGGCTGTAGGTTCCAGATCACAGTATTATTTGTACAGTGAGTATAACATGAGTTCAAGTTGCCCAGACAGCACCCTGAAGGGAGAGCAATCTGAGAGCACAAAAGGTTATTTTTCAGGCTGTGAAACGATCAGTGTGGACATTCTTTCCAGAGGGGAGTAGGAGATGGGCTTTGAGCTGATGGCTCATGTTAAACGCTGTTTTATTTGAAGGTAATCAGTGTCCAAGTAAATTGTCTTAATGGGTATTGAGTGTCATAATAGGGAGTAGTATCCTGTATCTTTTGACAGGCTTGGGCTACATTATCAAAGTCCAGTAGCAGATGGGGGTTTTGATAGAATTCTCCCTCTCTGACATAGAGCTTGGTCGAAAAATTTTATGAATGGGCAGTGCACAATGCTTGCTGACATCAGTAGAATATCACAGACTGTAACCTGCAAGGCTACGGTATATGATAAAACAAAATTCATTCGATTTTGACTCTGAGAATATCCCAAAGGTGTTCTTTTCATTGGTACAAACTAAATCCCGGGATCATGATTCCAGGTTAACCCCGACTTCAAGTGTGATTTGTTCACCAGGTCTGGCACTCTGCATGAGGAGCTGTGGGTAGATATGAAGTAGAATCGAGATTTACATAGAACACGTGCATATGGAAGCAGAATTGTGACCTCCCATAATACTTGTATCTCGGTTCCTTGGTTTTTTTTTGCTGGCGTCTTCTCTGTTTGAAGTTCTTTTGTGAGCCTGCAACTCCTGACCAGGATGACCTTTGTACTTGCTTCCTAGCTCCCAAACAGAGAGGGCGGCCTCCCGTCTCCAACATGATGGACCCAAACCAACTTTTCGATGACACCAGCGCCTCGCAGCACCCTCAGCCCACCAGCTACACTGTCCAAGGAATTGATGTGGGGCTTCCAATCAACAACTTCCTTAGCGAACCAGTAGCAGATTTTGCCATGACTTATGGCACAACAATTGCCAGCCAAGGAAAAGACATGGTCCATAAAGAGGTAGGTAGGTAGCTGCCCGTGCGCTTAACCGTTGCTATCACAGCCCCAATCAATGATTATAAATTACACTGCTCTCTCTCTGGTGCAGTTCCAACTATGTAATGCATCCATATTTAACATGATCATCAGCCATAACTGTGATGCAAATGGGGCAACATCAGTTCCTATGTTGGTGGCTATACTGTCTAAAACAATTAATGTATTGGACAGATGCAGCTTGCTAATCAATTGTTTGCATCTTGCTTAAGGTGCATCAAATGCAGGAACTAACCTAAGAAAATAATACCTTGTTAATGTTGTATCATGTCAACAGCACAGAAAGGGGTCACTCACAAGATCGTCCTCACACCATTGTGCATCTCACCTTGTCAACAAATCCGTGAGCAACTGTCAGCTTCTCCCTTAAATACATCTGTTGTAGTCCCTCTCCACTTTGCGTTTTATTGCATTCTATATTCTCCCCCACTCAGTAAAAAGTTTGTCCTGAAACCCTGATCGGATTCTTTAATGACTGTCTTGCATTGATGGCACCTGGTTTAGCTATCCTGTATGACTGGAAACATCTGTGGGCGGCATGGTGGCACAGTGGTAGTGGTTAGCACTGCTGCCTCACGCACCAGGGACCTGGGTTCGATTTCACCCTCGGCCGATTGTCTGTGTGAAGTTTGCACGATCTCCCCGTGTCTGCGTGGGTTTCCTCTGGGTGCTCCGGTTTCCTCCCACAGTCCAAAGATGTGCAGGCTAGATGGATTGGCCATGCTAAATTGCCTGTAGTGTTCAGGGATGTGTAGATTAGGTGGGTGATAGGGGGATGGGTCTGGGTGGGATGTTCAGAGGGTCGGTGTAGACTTGTTGGGCCGAAGGGCCTGTTTCCACACTGTAGGGATTCTATTAAAAAAAAATCTCTGCGGCTGCACTTTGATCAATCATAGTTTCTGTACTTGAGCCTTTGAAATTCCTTTCTCAAATCTGAAGCTGACCAGGGATAATTTAAGTGGCTGCTTTTTAAAAAACGTAGCCATATGGGATCTTTGACTTGATGAACAGTGGCAGAAGAGTTCCAAAGCAAGGGAGCTTTGCATCAATGTTAGCTCCAAGACTAAGGTATTGTCTGATCCTGAAAGCCATGCTGATAAAGATGGAAGCACCTTTTTAAAAAAGTTAATTCATATGGGTGTTTCTGTCTTGGCCATCTTCTGTTCACTTCCTAATTACTCTTGCCAAGGTGATGGTGAACTGCTGCCTTGAACCACTGCAGTCATTATGATGTGCGAGCACCTACAGGGCTATTAGGGAGAGTTCCAGCATTTTGACCTGGTGACTGTGAAGGAATGGTCAATATATTTCCAAGTCCGGATGATGCATAGGTGCAGCATCACTTCCTTTCTTTTATACTCCATGCATCCATTTATAAACCCAAGGATCCTTTAAGCCTTGACTGTTTCAGCTTGCCTGGCCACCTTCAGACTCATGTACATGAACCTCGATGTCGCTCTGTTCCTGTACACTCCTCAAAGTTGTACCGTTGTGTGTATTTCTTCTACCAAAGTGCAGTGTCTCTCATTTCTTTGCATTAAATTTAATTTGCCAGGTGTCTGCCTAGTTGGCTAATTTAGAAATGGCTATCTGAAGTCGCTCAGTGTCATCCTTACAATTCATTATCCTTTCTCGCATAGTACCTTGTGCAAAATTAGAGAGTTTGCCTTTAATACTGACATCCAAATTGTTCATATAAATCAGAAGAAACAATGTTCTCAACACTGATCCTTGGGGAACACCACTTTCAATTTGTCTCTACTTTGAGAAATGCCCATTCATACGTACCTTCTGTTTCCTCTTTTAATCCAACATTAAATCTGTGCTTCCAAGGACCTATCAATCCCAAACATTTCTATTTTGAAAAAAATGACACTTGATGTTGCAGATGACACCAAAATTGGTTGTCTAGTGGACAGTGAACATGGTTATCTCAGAGTACAATGGGACCTTGATCAGATGGGCCAATGGGGCCGAGGAGTGACAGAGTTTAATTTAGATAAATGAGTTGTTGTGTTTTGGAAAGGTAAATCAGTGCAGGACTTAGACAGTTAATGGTGGCGTCTCGGGGAGTGTTGCTGAACAAAGGACCTAGGGCTGCTGGTTATTAGTTCCATGAAGGTGGAGTCACGGGTAGACAGGGTAATGAAGAAGGAATTTGGTACACTTGCCTTTATTGGGCAGTGCATTGAGTATAGGAGTTTGGATGTTATGTGGGGTTGTATAGGATATTGCTGAGGCCACTTTTGGAATGCTGCATTCAATTCTGGTCTCCATGCTATAGGAAAGAAGTTAAACTTGAAAGGGGTCAGAAGAGATTTACAAGGATGTTGCCAAAGTTGGAAGTTTGAACTACAGCAAGATGCTGAATAGGTTGGGCCTTTTTTCTCTATAATGTCAGAGGCTGAGGGATGACTTTAGAGGTTTATAAAATCACGAGGGGCATAGACAGAGTGAATAGCTAAGGTCTTTTTCCAGGATAGGGGAGTCCAAAACTATTTATAATCTGTAGAGGGCATAATTTTAAGATGATGGGGGGCAAGATTTAAACAGGACTTACGGATCAACTTTTTCACAGAGGGTGGTGCGAATATGGAATGAGCTGCCAGAGGAAGTGGAGGAAGCTGGTACAAATACTCATCCAGATGCCTTTTAAATGTTGTAAATGAATAGGAAAGGTTTAGAGGGGTATGAGCCAAATGCTGAGAAATGGGACTAGACTAATTTAGGATATTTGGTCGGCACAGATGAGTTGGACTGAAGGCTCTCTTTCCGTGCTGTGCGTCTCTATGCCTCGATATGTGGCTCAGAAGGCAAGTTGCAGCTGGTTGTGTTTCCATGTATCTGATGCGTTTTTGGGGAGATGGTGGCATAGTTGTGTTAACACTGCAGTTAAAATCCAGAACCCTGAGCTAATGTTCTGGGTATGTGGGTTCAAATCTCATCATGGCTCTTTGTGAAACTTGAACTCAGTAAAAATCTAGACTAGTAACAACCATGTAACCATTGTCAATTGACATAAAAGTCCAGCTGGTTCGCTAATGTCTTTTTAGTGAAAGAAATCTGGCTGATATGTGACTCCAGACCCCAACATTGATAGACAATGAATGCTGGCTTAGCCAACGATGACCATATCTTAAACGATAAACTCAAAAATCTGTTGCCATTGCCCTTCTTAGGGATACTAGTGTGTTTCTAAGTGATATTGAAGGAGCCTGTGTCAGTTGTTGTAGTACATCTTATAGATTGTGCACATTATTGCCATTGTGCAGGTTGGTGCGAGAGACAGTTGATATTGAAGATGGTGGCTAGGATGCTAATTAAGTGAGCTATTTTGTCCTGGATAATGTTGAGCTTTTTGAATATTGTTGGAAAGTTGGGTATTTCATCATGCTCCTGATTTGTGCCTTGTAGATGGTGGACAGACTTTAAGGAGTCAGGAGGTGAATAATTGCTGCAGAATTCCCAGCCTTTTACCTGCTTTCATAGCTATTTTATTTATAATGCTGGTCCAGTTCAGTTTCTTGACAGCAGGACCCTCAGTATCCCTTGTAGAAGATGCGTGGGATGTGAAAATTCAGCTATATAGAGAGAGTCAAGCAGGATTTGGACCCAGGAAACTAGAACCGGTGTTTATGAATACCCTTATGAGAGCTTTTGATGGCGTAAACACGGAGAAACTATTTCTAGTGGCAAGAAAATGGAAAACTAGAGGGACTCGTACTGACGATAATTAGCAAGGGAACTACAGTGAAATTGAGAAACTCTTTTAATAAAGTGAATTGTGGTCTGAAACGTGATCCCAAGAAGGGTGATGGAAGTAAATTCAACATTAACTTTCAAAAAGAGAATTGGATAACCATTTGCCAGACTTGTGGGGAAAGAGGGGGTATGGGTCTAAATAGATACTAGCATAGGTACAATGAACCGACTGGCCACCTTCTATGTTGAATCATTCTGAATGTGTCGATTGTGTCTGTGCTGTCATGACACGTGTTCAAAACAAAAGTCAAAAGAACTGCGGATGCTGTAAATTGCTGGAAAAGCTCAGCAGGGTCTGGCAGCATCTGTGTTGACAAGTGTTTATTTTGTTTCATAGCAATGATACTGTGGAATGACCTGCCTGGACACTTTAGAGGGTGCTGACTTTCAACCACTTGATGTGGGACCAAGTCACCATTTGGACTGTGTGTCCGATAACGTCAGCATCACAGTCCTGTAAATGCTTCTCATCTGTTATGAGCAGTGCCACAGGGAATTATGCTGGTATTTTAACCTTGCAGGCTCAGACCAGATTGACTGTGTTTCTCTCTTCTTTTATGACAGCTGAACAGGTTTATGTCCGTCAACAAGCTGAAATATTTCTTCACGGTCGACACCAGATATGTCACCAAGAAGTTGGCATTGCTCCTGTTCCCGTATACCCACCAGGTACAGAACTTCACAGGAGGGTTTCTGCGGGGTATCGTTATGGACAGAGTAGAGAGTCAGACTGACCTGTTTGTTTTCTTTACCTTCTGTCCTTAACCAAAGTGATTTACTTGTGAAAAGGCTATGGTATGTGTCCCAAACCTCTGTTTGCAAAGTCATTTTTTAAAAATGAGTCTCAACTCTCTCAGGTTTAAGTCAAGAGTATTATTTATTGATATTCAAAGCTGATGAATTATTTTATGGAATTCCTTTTGTCTGTGAAAGGTGATTTTTAAAATTTAATTTTATTGCTTATCCTTTCTGAAATGGACCATGGTGTGTTTCCTCCGAAACTGTCTGTGAAGTTTCATTTAAGTGTCAAACATGTAGCCAGAATCTATTAGCTGTGATACAGAAACCTGGACCATTCTCTCAACCTGCGTCTAAAAGACAGGTAAATTGGCAAATTTGCACGCGCGCACACACACTATATGCAATGCTTTGTTTGCTGAGATGATCCTTTTTGTTTGCCAGGACTTGCTTCTCAATCTTTGTTCTTCAGGTACTGACTTGCAGGAAGCACAGAACAACTGGCTCACAACTTGTACTATTAGTTAACAGCAACAGTTGGTGAGGGAAAATAAATTAACCTCTTTCAGGCTTAAGGTTTCTTTTTACTGCAGGAACAAGGCACCACCACCCTTTCCAGAGGTCTGAATATTTCTGACCATATTATTCATGCCCGCAAACTGTTCAGCTGCCTGGGAAACAACCACATAGATGTGGCAGGCAGATTGCCTGTGTCATGGGCAACCGGTCATTACTATACAGACCAATCAGCTACTTATTGCTGGCCAAATCTCATCCTGTACACACTCCCTGGTCTGCAACTAAACTTCTCCCCACTGTTTGAACAAACAGCAGTATAAATATCAATTTGCTTTTAAAAAGTGCAGGAATCTCTTCCATACTTGGTTTTTAAAATAGTCCTTTTCCTATTTCAGTCCACAATCTCAAATATAGAAATGAAAAGGTAGTCTTTTCAATGGACAGGGAAATTCAACCTAGTGAGGTAGTTTTGATGTCTTTTGACAAAATAAAACTGGCGATAAGTGTGGGGCTACTAGCAGGATTGTAGATTTCATTGTAGAGTTGAGAAAAGTACAGCAATATGAGATAGGCATACACAAACTTAGTCCACTTTTCGGGCAATTCTAAATGAACACCTACTTGCGATCTTGGATTGACCCAAAGTGCATCACAGAAGAGCATTGATCTCTTTTGTGTGGAAAGATGCAACAGCCAGTTAGAGCTAAAGTCTGGCAAACATTAATTCAATAAATAACGAGGTCCCTGTCCGCCTTAGAAGGCAGGCGAGGCATTGGTTGAAAAACGGCACCTGTGACAGCACAGCACTCCTTTCAGTACTGCATTGCAGGACCAGCAGAGATTATACCCTCAGGAGTAGGGTGAAGTGAGTTGGGGTTTGAGCCAAACAAAGCAAAACTGGGAATGGAGTTCATTAAATCTGCTGGCAGGATGTTTCTTATATAATACAGTAGGATTTTCATTAGGAACAGAACAATTTGTACAGTGTTCTTCATGCTTTAGTGCTAAATATTTCAAACTGTTCCACTCGGTTACAGGACCTTGGGCCTGAGGAGGCTTACTATTTGTTTGGCATGCATGGAGCTATTAAATTGAGCTTCAGTGTTTAGAACAGTTTAACAAGAGAGGTGCACAACATAGGCTGCACAGAATGTTAATAATAAGACAGGCAGCAAAGCAACAAATTTATAGTTTAACCATTGTATCCACTTGAAGTTTGAACTGAAAACTCCAGGGCTCAGATTCTCAATGAAACTTTTCCATCTCATCTTAGAACTGGGAGCTTGGATACCGTGTTGACTCGCGCCTGACCCCACGAGAGGACTATCATGCGAATGCTCCAGACCTGTACATTCCAAGTGAGTGCGTAACATGGTTTTTCAGGTTCTGGTCTGGGGTGATAACATTCAAATTTTTATACAGTGCCTGTATCAATCTGTATGCTTCCCAAAGCACTTGACAGCCAGTAAGCACTTTGCAAGTGTTGCAACGTAGGAAAAATGGCAGCCAATCTGCATGCTGAAAATCCTATTAAGCAGCGATGTGGTAATGACCAGATGGTTTTTCTTCTTAACGGGTTATTGTGAAGGCTAAATACTGGTTGAGACACCATAAGGGCTCCTGTGCTCTTTCTTTTATTCCATGGGGTTATGAAAGTACAGACGAGACATCAACTCAAATGTGGCCCCTCTGACAGTGCAGTGCTCCCTTGGTACTGTAATGGGTTCTCAGCCTTCTCAGGCGTCAATAAATGCTGTCTAAAGCAGAAAAATCCTCATCCCCAGAATATATTTTCTTAAAAGTTCATGTATACACTGACGTCATTGGTGGTGGGACTCAAAACCAGGTCAGCTGTCACAACATCATTACTTGTTCTGACCACTAATAGACTCAATGGGATATGTTGTTCTGAAGTGCGTCTCCCAACTATGCTTTCATTATTTATTGAAAGGAAATATCCTAAAACTCTCTCTGGGTAGTGTATGCCGTACATCAACCATACATGAAGGTCCAAGACAGAACAGAAAGAACTGCGGATGCTGTAAATCAGGAACAAAAACAGAAGTTGCTGGAAAACCTCAGCAGGTCTGGCAGCACCCATGAAGAAAAATCAGAGTTAACATTTTGGGTCTGGTGACCCTTCCTCAGATTTCGAATTGCTCACAAACCGCTAAATCCAATACTGGCACGTTATCAGTACCAGCGTCTTAGAGCTGCAATTATCACTCCAGTTCAACAGAAACATACTTTATTTTAAATTGAGAGCTTGAGTTGCAGTCCCCTGCTACCCTTTGACTTTGGTCCAGTGACGTGACATTTAACTTGATGCAGGACGTGGTGTTCCTTATCCACTACTCAGCCCAATGACCAGCTGCCACAGTGTGTAAACAGTCCCTCTTCTGGTAGGGTGGGAATGTGGCCCTCTACTCCAATCCCCCTAGTAGTGGTTCTGACTTGTACTTGTACTTCAGTGTCCACACAAAACAATTTGTTCTATGTGATCCAACTCTACAGCATTGTGCTATTTGGAGTAACCGACTGAATTATTCTCTTGAGCATCCCCAATTTCTGTAACTCCGCTGTTAGTGGTCGTGTCTTGCTACCTGGCTCACGAGCTCTGGAATTCCCTGCCTAAACCGCTCTCGCTCTCTCCTTTCCTTCTCGAAGATTTCTTTATAGGCTGCCTCCTTAACCAAACTTTTGGGAATCGTCCTGAATATCTCCTTGCGTAGCTGTATGACATACTGTGTTTTGGAATCCTTCTGTAAAGAACTTTGTGATGTTGTATGTTAACAGCGCTGCAGCAATGAAGATTTATTGTTCAGGAGCTGACTGCTGTCTTTGGTTTTCTGTTTCAGCCATGGCCTTTATTACATACATCCTGTTGGCTGGGGTGGCACTGGGCATCCAGCAGAGGTTAGTATATCTGAAATACAATTAGCTCTCCTATCAAGATTAGTTGTGTTCCTGAAGCGGCAATGTCCGGAAGCAGAAACATACATCGGCACACTGGCACGCATAGGGCTTCCCAGCAGCCACACAACTTGGAGGGAGCATTGATACACAGCCCACCTCCAAACATGGAGATAGTGAAGTTGAGGAAGGGAAGCACCAGAGATAAAGTTTGCTAGTTTGAACCAGCAAGAAGCAGTACAGATACGGTCAGTGGGGGTACTTGGAAGGCAAAAAAATGGGAGGGATCTGTCCCAGGAATGGCTGTATTAGTGCTGGTTTCAAAAAGCTCCATGGTAGAAAAAGTATAGCTAAGATCCACATTGACTCCACTCCCTCCCTTCAGTTAAGGATGTTGCTGTACGAATCCAAGGAGAAGTCGTTCATTGCAGGGTACAGTTCAGCTAGCCAGAGGAAGCTGGGAGTAGATTGGGAATGGTTGGGACCCTGTTCAGGGAAGAAGCAGAGACACCGGCACAGTGGCTCAGTGGTTAGTACTGCTGCCCCACAGTGTCAGGGACCCGGGTTCAATTCCACCCTTGGGCGACTATCTGTGTGGAGTTTGCACATTCTCCCCATGTCTGCAAGGGTTTCCTCCGGGTGCTCCAGTTTCCTCCCACAGTCCAAAGATGTGCAGGTTAGGTGGATTGGCAATGCTGAATTGCCCGTAGTGTCCAGGAATATTTAGGTTAGGTGGGTTAGACATTGGGAAATCAGGGGTAGGGGAATGCGTCGGGGTGGGATGCTCTTTGGAGGGGTGGTGTGGACTAGTTGGGTTGAATGGCCTGTTTCCACACTGTAGGGATTGTATGATCTTGTATGATCTTGTATGATCTATGATCTATGATCTGACCTCAGGCCAGCTGGCCGCAGGATAGATGTGTAGCAGACTTAGTCTGTGATGAAAAGGTTACAGTGTCGGGAAGCTGTTGGTCGCAGATGAGTCACAGACATAGGGAAAAGACTGCACAAGGGGAAGAATTAGGAGTTTGCAATAGGAAGAAATAAATTCTATGGTCAGGATGGGGAGAGAAGAACTGGCTGCAAATGTGCCAGTGGGTGGCAGTGTTGCGCTGCATCTGAGGGCATTGTGTAGCACTGCACCGTCAGTGGAGTTGGACAAGTGGATCATAGTGTGGGAACAAGCCCTTCGGCCCAACAAGTCCACACTGAACCTCAGAGCATCCCCCTATAATCCACACCTCCCTGAACACTACGGGCAATTCAGCATTGCCAATCCACCTAACCAGCACATCTTCGGACTGTGGGAGGAAACCGGAGCACCCGGAGGAAACCCTCGCAGACATGGGGAGAATGTGCAAACTCCACACAGACAGTCGCCCGAGGGTGGGATCGAACCCGGGTCCCTGGCGCTGTGAGGCAGCAGTGCTAACCACTGTGCCGCCCCATTCTGGCTGCAGTGTCCAGAACAAGGAGTTATGTTCTCAGGATAAAGGGTAGATCATTCAAGAACTGAAATGAGAAGAGGTTTCTTCACTCAGACAATGGTGCACCTAAGGAAAAAGATTCAGTGATATTTATCAGTCCATTTGTGTCTGATTTATTCTGCCTCACTCTTTGGTTGTGTTACAAACATAGAAAATAGAAGCAGGAGTAGGCCCATTGAACTTGCTGCACCATTTAATACAACAATGGTTAATCTCTCAACATTTTGCTGTCCCTGGTTGCCCCTTGATACCTTACGGCTTCTATAAATTTATGTCTTATGTACATTGAGTGACATGGCCTTAACAGCCTTCTGTGGTAGGTAATTCCGTAGGTTCATTTCCTCTGAGTGAAGAAGCTTCTCTTCCCCTTAGTCTGAAAGGGCCTACTGTGTATCCTGAGACTGTGATCTCTTCTCCTGCCGACCCCCAAGGGAATATCATCCCTGGATCCAGTCTGTCCAGCCCTCAGGATTTTATACATTTCAGTGAGATCCCCACTAATTCTTTTAAACTCCAATGAATATAGGTCCAGTCCACCAAATCTCTCCTCAAATGTGAAATCTTCAATCCAGGAATCAGTCTGGTAAACCTTCACTGCACTCCCGCTATGGCAAGCATATCTTTTCTTGGCAAGATCAAGAAAGAAGTGGTGTTGGGTCTCTTGGAGAGCATTAAGGTGGATAAGTCCCCAGGGCCTGATGGTATCTACCCCAGGTTATTGAGAGAGGCAAGAGGAGATTGCTGGGGCCTTGACCAAGATCTATGTATCCTCACTAGCCACTGGAGAGGTCCAAGAGGACCGGCAAGTGGTTAATGTTGTTCCTCTGTTCAAGAAGGGATATAGGAATAATCTAGGAATCTCATATCGGTGTTTGGGAAGCTATTGAAGAGAATTCTTAGGGATAGGGTTTCCACATATTTAGGAAAAACATGGCCTAATCAGGGATGGTCAGCATGGCTTTGTGCAGGGCAGGTCATGTCTTACTAAGTTGATTGGATTTTTCAAGGAGCTAATAAAGGTAGAGCAGTGGATGTTGTCTACATGGATTTTAGTAAGGCTTTCGGCAAGGTCCCTCATGGTAGGCTCATCCAGAAGATTAAGATGCATGGGATCTATGGTGACTTGGCTGTGTGGATTCAGAATTGGCTTGACCATAGAAGGCAGGCCGTAGTGGTGGAGGGGTGTTTTTCTGGCTGGAGGTCCGTGACTAGTGGTGTTCCACAGGGATCCGTACTGGGATCTCTGCTATTTGTGATATATGTATATGACTTGGATGAAAATGTAGATGGGTGGGTTAGTAAGTTTGCAGATGATACAAAGATCAGTGGAGTTGTGGGTAGTGTAGAGGGTTGCCAAAGGATACAACAGGGTATAGATCGATGGCAGATGGAGTTTAATCCCAGTAAGTGTGAGGTGCTGCACTTGGGAGATAAATTGTTAAGGCAAAGTATAAAAGTTAATGGCAAGACCTTGAACAGCATTGATGTACAGAGGGTTTTTGGGGTTCAACCCCACAGCTCCCTGAAAGTGGCCACGCAAGTAGGTAGGGTGGTAAAGAAGGCGTATGGCATGCTTGCCTTTATTGGTTGGGGAATTAACTACAAGAGGCAGGATGTGATGTTGCAGCTTTATAAGGCTTTGGTTAGGCCACACTTACAGTATTGCGTTCAGTTCTGGTTGCCACATTACAGGAAGGATGTGGGCGCTTTGGAGAGGGTGCAGAAGAGGTTTACCAGGATGCTGTCTGGATTAGAGGGTATGAGCTATAAGGAGAAGCTACAAAAACTGTTTTGTTTTTCTTACCTGAATGGACAACTTTGTATTTATCCATGTAATGCTCCAGCTTCCACATATGCCCTCTCACTCAATGTTATCCAAATCATGCTGAAGCCTCTTTGCTTCCCTTACACCACTGTCACTCCCACCTAGTTCCTCTTAGTATTTCGTGGTTTCTGTTAAACATTATAAAATTTATTATAAAAATTCACAGAGAGGGAGGGTGTGTGAATGGGATGGTGTTTGGGTCCATTGAAATTGTGTGCAATGGGAGTTACTGGGAAAGGATTTGAACCATTGGGTAAATGGGATGGGGCTTGGGTCTGTTACAACTGTGCACAACAGGAGTGAATGCTATATTTTGTAGTGATGTGTTTATCTGGTAATGGGGCATGTATATTTGTGTTTCAGGTTTTCTCCTGAGGTACTAGGAATGTGTGCCAGTACTGCGCTGGTATGGATTATTATTGAGGTTTTAGCCCTTGTCCTCGCACTCTACTTGATATCAGTACATACAGACCTCACTACATTCGATCTTATTGCCTACAGTGGATATAAGTATGTAGGGTAAGTGCTGTTGAGGGCCTGCTCCATTGTGTTAACTCCTGCATACAGTTATGAGGATAGGGGGTCAGTGTAATAGCACTGTGCAAGGGAAATCATGCATGGCAAATTTATCAGAATGCTTTGAGGAGGTAACAAGCAGGACAAATGAAAGGAAAGAAGTAAATTTGATGTATTTGAATTAGAAGATGTTTGATAAGGCATGACACATTAGGAAACTTAATTTGATAAGAGCCCATGGTGCTGGAGATGGTGTATTGGTATAGGTAGAAGAAATGCTAACTAATTGAACACCGCATGTTGGGAAATGGGGGTCATTTTCAGCATGGTAATCTGTAACTCGTGGTGCACAGGGATCAGTTCTGGAGCCACCATTATTTATAATGTATATTAGTGACATGAGTGAGGAAAGTGCATGCATTGTCGCCAAGTTTGTAAATATAAAAAACAAAATGTAAACAAAAATAAGTACAAAAGGCAAGTACTAAGGATGACACACATACAGTCTGCTGGGGATGGTGGGCAGATTGGGTGAGTGAACAAAAACTTGGCAGACCGGATGTGATGTGGGAAAATGTGAGGTGACAGGAAGGAAAGAAAGGGAGTTGAACATTATTTAAATGGCGAAAGACTGCAGAAAGCTGCTGCATTTGGGAGCCATCATGCGTGTATCACAAAAAGTTAGCATCCAAGTTCAGCAGGAAATAGGGAACGCAAATTGAATGTTGGCCTCTATTTCAAAGGGAATGGAGTATAGTAACAGGGAAGTCTTGCTAAAATTATACATGCCGTTAGTTAGAATACTTTTGGAATACCGTAATCAATGTTGGGCCCTTATATAAAGAAGGATACACTGGCATTGGCTATAGTCCAAGATTCAGTAGGTTGATCCCAGGTATGGAAGGATTGTCTTGTAAGGACAGATTGAGTAGGTTGGGCTTGTATTCTTTGGTGTTTAGAAGACTGAGAGGTAACTATATTGAAAAGTACAAGACTCATACGGGGCTTGTCAGGGTATTTATGGAGAGATTGTATCCCTTTGTGGGACAGTCCAAAATCTAAAGGACATAATCTCAGAGTAAGATGTCACCCAGTTAAAGCAGAAATAAAGACGAATTTCTTTTTTGACGCTCGTGAAACATTCTTTACCACAGAGAGCAGGCAAGGATGGGTTGTTACGTATATTCAAGACTAAGGTAGATTTTTAACCAGTGAGGGAATTGAGAGTGATGTGGGGAAAAAGGCAAGAGAGTGGATTTGGGGATAATCCAATCAACAATGATCTCGTGGAATGGTAGAGCAGACTTGATGGGCTGAGTGGCCTATTTCTGCTTGTACATCCTATAGTCTTGTAGGCTACCAAGGAGTATAATAGCATTTTACAGGCTAGTGGTATAACATCACAGCACAAGGCGCATCCAGTGATCTTGAAGAGTGCGTTCACGGAGGGAAACTTTAACTGTGAAGATTCATGCAGCTGCTGCTACAGACACCACCTCTCTCAGTTGCACCTGCTCTGCAGTTTAATGAAGCACAAATATTCAGACAACGCAGAGATGTTATTCTTTACCTTTGGAGTGTAGGAAAGACTGCATTTAATACCCATCGTTTATTGTTCTGATGGGGTTTTTGTTGAACCAGTACAGAAAGTATTTAGAGATTCACAGGCCAAGGGTAAGTTCTGCGTTCCCTCCAGGGCACTTTTTGATCCCCAGTGAGGCAGCAGTTGTGTTGCTTGGGTTAACCTGATGGCCCCAGGGCCAAGTATCTGCCAGGGTACCTAGTTCGTGTCCAGTATCCAGCCTGACCTCTCAACACCCCTATCCCACCTCAGTTCACCTCACTAAAAGATAATAGCATCCACAGAGTCAAACCTCAACACCTTCAGGTGGGACCAGTACAAAGATGGCACATAAATCTGAGACCACAATGAATGAGTAACTGCAGTTCTTGTGTCAACCCACAATGGACAATGAATACTTGGCATGGAACAGTGAATGAGAATGAGAGACAAACACGGGCTGTAATCTAATCACGAGAGCAAAGCTCAAGTAATTTATCGCCATAATCTGATGCAATAGATTAGCTGCAGCCATGAATCTGTTGTGATTCCTCAAGCAAACCTGTTGCAATGAATACCTCAGCTCTGCATCGTGTACCAGGCTGAGATTGGCTGGATTTTCCATTGGATTCTCCATGGATTTTGTGAAAGCTGAGAGGTATAAACACCGCATGCCAAGGTGTATAGACTGAAGAGTGAGGTAGGGTGGGGACAGGGGAAGGTTCTGGGGCAAAGGCATGGTCCAGTTGCCATGTGTAAGAGAGGTGAAGAAGAGATGCCACGTAGTAACCATCTCATTAGGAAATATCCTGTATTGTAGAAGCTGCCCTGGGTGATGACACTAGGTGCCGGCCTGAGAGTGGGGAGTAACGTTACTGGAAAGGAAATAGTGAGGATTTTTGAAGAGGAGTATTATGCATTGCGAGCAGATCAGAGTGGACAGCTCCAGTCGAGGAGCTAGCACCAACAGTTGACACAGTGGGGGCCAAATGTAACTTGTACTCTTTCATGTGCTACAAACAAACACATTCAAATGCCAGCTGCTGCACCCTCGAGTGATGCTAATTGGATAGACAGTAAGAGTCTGTGTAACTCGGTATTACTCATGAAGTCCCTTTTCCTACTGATTTCTCATTATTGGAATAGCTGTACACTAGAAACCTAGCACTGATGCTGTGCAGATAGATGAGGATTGTATGACACAGGCACCAAGTATCCACGACTCAGCAGGATATTGGACAGTGATTACAGCTTGATAAAGTCTCACGGCAAGAGTGAGAATTAAGATGCCATGGTTTTGAATCCCAATCCAGACAGCTGAGTGCATAATCTAGGCTGGTAGGTTAACACATTCCTGAGAGGGTGTTGCAATGCCAAAGGTGCTGTCTTTCAAATGAAATGTTAAGACTTGGCCCCATTTATCCTTACGAGGATGTAAAAAAGGCCCATGACCACAATTGGAAGAAAAGGGTCAGGAGGTGATGTTCTCCCTGGTATTCTGAGGCCAGTGTTTATCTCTCAACTGACATTATGCAAACAGGTTATCTGGTAATGTCATGCTGCATGCTGTGCCACAATATGGCTGCTGTGTTTCCTACATCAGTGACTACTAAAAATACTTTGCCTTTAAAGTACTTTGGGATATCCTGCATTTGTGGAAGGTGCTGTAGAAATGCAGGCCTTTCTTGAATTCACAGTGAATCACTCCTTTAACCTCTCCTCCTCTCTGGTTTTGATGATAATACAGAACCTAACCTCTTGATTTCAGATAGTATCACTCTGATACTTAATTTCTGGTCATTCTTCATCCTGTGGTAAGGCAGTCGCTTCCTATTCCTCTCTCCCTCAGGATGATAATCACGATCCTAGGCGGCTTATTGTTTGGGCGAGATGGCTACTACGTGGCATTGGCTTGGACGTCCTGCGCCATCATGTTCTTCCTAGTAAGTGACTCCTTTATGCTCTCCTGCCTCTCGGAAATTAAAGCAATAGTTTCTTGTTTAGCCCGTACCCTCACCGTACCTCAGGATAACCATTTCATTATTGTTGTTGCTAACTAATAATAATCATCTTCAATTAGCCATCACGCTGCTTATTAAGATCTTGCATTACAATGCACTGCAACCTGTCCAGTCCAGGATGCTTGTAACCAAGTCATTTCTAGATTTCAGAATTTTCTAGATTGTAAAATGATGCTAGAATGCCCAACCACAAGTGGGTCAATCAGGAAGTGTTGTCATTATTTACCTGAAACATCAAACAGTAGAAATAACCGGGGATGCAATGGTGTAGTGGTACTATCGCTGAACTAAATCCAGAGACCCAGATAATATTCGAGGACCCGGGTTTGAATCCCACCGTGGCAGGTTGTGCAACTCGAATTCAATTTTTAAAAAATCTGAAATTAAGGGTCTAATAATGACCATCAATCCATTGTCAATTGTCAGAAGAACTCATCTAGTTCACTAATGTTCTTTAAGGAAGGAAACTGCCATCCTTGTCTGGTCTGGCCTATAAGTGACTCCAGACCCATAGCAATGTGGTTGACTCTTAAACTGCCCTCTGGATAATTAGGGAGGGGCAATAAAATGCTGGCCTAGCCAACAATGCCATCATCCTATGAATGAATGGGAAAAAAACTTATCCAGTTACTCTCTTTTCCATGTATCTGCTCCTAAAGTACTGTGCTATAATGATGCTTGGGCCTTAATGAAAGGATGACTGGAGATATTGAGATGTGTATCTATCCCTTTTAAAAGTTGCTATTGAATCTGTTTGTATCACCTTTTCTGATATCACATTCAAGACCACTGTGAGCAAATTTAAGCAAAATTTTTGTCTATCTTTAACGCTTTATTGATCAGGTGAGTGGAAACTGCCAGTTGTAAGAGGTTTTTGGGAATCAGTAAGTCACAAATAAACGATTCCTCCCAAGCATGCGTCACAATGCAATACATCATGCTTCAAATCCCCTACTGTTTCTTAAAAGGCCAGTTATTCTAGCCCATTATAATGTGTTTTGAGCAACCAGTAAGCTTGCCATTTCATGCTGCTATTATGCATTGGCAACTATTTTCCATGACCAGGATGTTGTGGTCAAGTCAGAAAGACACACTACCCGCTATAGAAATAAGTAATGTGAGGTTGCTGACTTTGAAAGCAAAAACAAGAAGGCAGATTACTATCTGAATGGCTATAAATTGGGAGAAGGGAGTGTGCAGCGAGACCTGGGCATCATCGTGCACCAATCTCTGAAAGTAAGCATGCAGGTGCAGCAGGTGGTAAAAAAAGGCAAATAATCTGTTGGCCTGCATTGCAAGAGGTTTCGAGTACAGGAGCAGGGATGTGTTGTTACAGTAATACAGGGTCTTGGTGAGGCCACACCTAGAATATTGTGTGCGGTTTGGACGCCTTTTCTGAGGAAGGATGCTCTTGCTCTCGAGGGAGTGCAGTGAAGGTTTACCAGGCTGATTCCAGGGATGGCAGGTCTGACGTATGAGGAGAGATTGACTAAGTTGGGATTGTTTTTGCTGGAGTTCAGATGAATGAGGGGAGGGGGGGGTGTAAATCTCATAGAGACTATAAAGTTCTAACAGGACTAGACAGGGTAGATGCAGGGAGGATGTTCCTGATGGTATGTGTGTCCAGACTAGGGGTCATAGACTGAGGATTCTGGGTAGACGATTTAGGACGGAGATGAGGAGACATTTCTTCACCCAAAGAGTGGTGAGCCTGTGGAATTCATTACCACAGGAAGTAGTTGATGCCAAAACATTGAATATATTCAAGAGGTGGCTAGATATAGCACTTGAGGCGATTGGGATCAAAGGTTATGGGGAGAAAACAGGATTAGGCTATTGAGTTTGATGATCAGCCATGATTATGATGAATGGTGGAACAGGCTCAAAGGTCCAAATGGCTGCCTCCTGCTCCTATCAATGATGTATGAATTTCAGGAAGCACAACTTTTTGGCTTTTCAGTGACCATGCTCAACTAACAGCTTGCAGTGCTTAGGACCTAATGTCTGATGTTAGATGTAGTTCTGTGATTGGACAGCACTTACTAAATGATCTTAAATGTTTTAGAATTAAGTTAACACCAATTTAAGATTTCTTTCAGGCTCTCAATGTAGCTTTCACTTGCTAGAAGCTACAGACATTCATATGCAGGGGCCTGTCCTGTAGAGACAAAATGAACATATCCAGGCTTTGCACCTTTTTTGACTTAAACAAATCCATGGTGAACAACAGTTCCCTTGTGCGTTTTCTGTGGCATCCTTTCTTCATGGAGTATGAATTGTTGTTCCCTTTGAAATTTTGCACTCTTGCGATTCTGTCCTGGTGAGCGCAAGATAAAAAGCTCCAACAACATGTCTCTTTCATTCAGCGATTTAATAATGTGTTTGCACAGATGAGTTTTAAATTTACTCACTGTCTCCTCCCTCATCCACCAACATCTCTCCATACTTGTTGAACTGATCTCTCTGAAGGCTGATGGTACCACATCGCACGCTCTCTCACTCTCACTCTTTCTTTCCCTTCCCACCTCGCCCCCTCCACAGGTCCGCTCCTTGAGAATGAAAGTCCTGTCCTCCACCTCAGATGGAGTTACCAGCCATAGCTCCAGGAATCAACTACGGATGTACGTCACCCTGGCTGTCGCCGCATTTCAACCCCTCATCATTTACTGGCTGACTATTCACCTAATTCGGTGAGGGATAGTGAGATGGTAGTCTAGGATTTGTGGTGGGGATTGGGGGGGGTAAGAGTGTCAAGTATTGGGGTTTTGCCATTCTATCCCAGTGTATCATCACACAATGTTAAGCTGGTCCCTTCCTCAGAAGATGCTAGCAGTTTATAAAGGAGTGCCAAAAACTTTCTGCTTGTTTACTTTGAAAACAATCCTACAGCTTCCGCCAGAGCTGTACGTGGTACATAATTCAGGATGGTTGCACCGTCTCTAATGCTGTCTGTGAGTGAGTATGAGCTCACTGTGGTGAGGACCTTATTGGACGGGGTGTCAGTGCTAGTGGATAGGAAAGTTTGAGAGGGTTGCACTGTCACATTGAGTTATAGCTCATTTAGACTGGGGCTGTGAAAACAAAAGACATGAGAACAAAAGAAGAGTCAAAGCACTCCACTCTAAATCTTTGCTCAGTCTGTATTACAGTCTTCCCCACAAAAGGGTTTGAATAGAACCCCCATTCCAGGATACACAACCGAGGCTGATAGTTCAGTGCTACACTGAATTAATATGTTAAACCAAGGCTGCGTCTGCCCCGGATATGCCTTCCAACCTTACAAAAGAAATTACAAAAAAAAACTGCTGCAGTGTATTGTGCCAAAGCTGTTGTAGCACACACTGACACTGTTCATAAAACCGGTGTTCTCAGAAATTTGACCTCCCAGCCTAATTTGAGTTGTACCAGCAATTCTTCTCCCAGTTATCAGTTCCTGCATTAGCCAGTTCTCTCCCATCTTCCATTCTAAAACCATCTTTCCCTGCTTGTCTGACCCCTGCCGTTGGAGTAAGATGATTGCACCAGGAAGGAAGTGCCTTTTTTAAAAAGTCCTCATTTCAATCCTACACTACCACTATAACATTGATTAAGACCTTGGTGCAACTTCCCTATTTAATTGTAAAACTTTAGTTTTATCTTGGAGCTGGGAGCCAGCCATCACCCCAGATAGCCTCTCCTGCATCTGCCATTTGAAAGTGTTTCCTGCCCCACCAAGGGATGTTTCTTGTTCTTGCATGGTTGTTAGTAGCCTCATTAAGAGAAATGACTGAGTGATGCAGGAGAGAGGATAAATCAGACTTGGACACCCTCCTAGAGCTATTCTAGTAACCGCAGTGTATTAGACTCTTTGGAGCAGCTAAACTGTTAACTCCCAGCTGTCGGTAGTGACAATAAAATGGGATGTCCCTCCCTGACTAGCAGGCTGTAATAAAACAGAGACTCCTGGACCTCTCCTGCAGACTACCACTGTTTTGCTGGTAAATGGACATTAATCCCATAAATACAGCAGATGACAAACACGGAGCTACACGTTGTTTTAATCATCCTGTGGCTTCTTTGACCATTTGCCGTTTGAAGATGAAGGGAGGACTTCTCTCACCAGTTGATCTTTGCAGTGGTTCTCAACGTAATGTGTTTTAAATCCTCGCCGTGCTGCTGACTCTGTAAATAATAAATAGAATGCATCATGTTTTAAACCTGTTGTCTGCTGTTCTACACTTCATGACTTCCAACGTTGGTTGCAAGTTGGATTGCCAACTCCATTCCATCTGAGTTCACTTGTTCTGTGGTATGTTTTTTGTCTTTCATGGCTGTTCACTGGTTGGTCCCGGTGTCATAGAAGATGACATTCCAACAGTGTCATAGAAAATAGAACCACACTGGTTCCCAGTTAGAGAGCTTCTGATCCTTGCCTTACAGTTCACTGGCCATGAGTGGGGGAAAAATTAATAACATGATTTAACAAATTTATGGATGCCAATCAGATACAATAACCATGAAGGATGCTGCATTTTCTTTTACTCCTACTTTCACAGGATATGGGCATCAATGGCATTTGTGATCCATCCCACATTGCTCCTTGGGGAAGTGGTGATTAGTGAACACCTTGAACCACTGCAGTCCTTGCGTGGATGCACGCATGGTGCTGTTAGGAGTGGAGTTCCATGATTTTGACCTTGTGACAGTGAAGGAATGGCCAATATAGTTTCAAATGAGGATGGCGTGTGGCTCATTCAGGGGTCTTGTGGTTGGTGGTGTCTCCGTGTATCTGCTGCTTGTACCATCTGGATGGTAGAGGTTGCAAGTTTTGGAAAGTGCAGTTGAAGGAACCTTGGCAAGTTATTGCAGTGTACCTTGTAGATGGTGTATATATTCACTACTAAGCATTAATGAGCTAATCAATGACCACTCCATCAGCCTACTTTCAGCCATCAGTATGGTGATGGAAAGGTCATTCCAACAGTGCCTTCAAAGCAGTACTTGCTTACCAATACCAGCTCACTAACATCAAGTTTGGGTTCTGCCAAGGCCACCTGGCTCTGGACCTCATTCCAGCCTTGGTTCAAGCATGGATTTTAAAAAATAGCTAAATTCCAGGGATGAGGTGCAAGTGATTGCTACAATCAGTCAAATAGCATTGTGGGATTACCTCCATAAATAGATTGAGGTGATCCAAGAGGCAGCTCAAGAGGCAGCTTAAGAGCCATGAAAGATGGGCAATAAATGCTGGCCAGGCAATAACTTCCTCTGGCCCATTAATGGATTAAAGGGATGTGGTATCTCTGGCAAAGCTTATGTTGGAGCTGTGCAGAACTTTGGTTAGACCACAGCTGGAGTAGTGTGTGCAGTTCGGGTCACCCTATTGTAGGAAGGGGTGCAGAGAAGATTCACCAGGATGTTGCTTGGGATGGAGTATTTTAGCTAAAACAAAAAAGGCTCATTAATGCTTAGTAGTGAATATATACACCATCTACAAGGTGCACTGCAACAACTTGCCAAGGCTCCTTCAACTGCACTTTCCAAAACTTGCAACCTCTACCACCCACAAGATCCCCATATGTTCAGGTTGTTTTCTGTAGAGTGGACAAGGCTGAAAGGAGACCTGATTGAGGTGTATAAAACTGGGTGGCATTGAGGGGGTCAGTAACATGGCCTAAATTTAAGGTGAAAGGCAGGAGATTTAGAGGGGAAAAGAATCACTTGGGGATGATAGAAGTCTGGAACATACTGCCTTTTAGGGAAGGAGTAATTGAGGTGGGCAATCTCACAACCTGTTTAAAATGTACCTGGATGAGCAGTTGAAATGTTATAACATAGAAGGCTATGAGCCACATGCTGGAAAGTGGGACTGGTGTAGATATTAAGTAATTTCATTGGTGCTAATTTTTTGGGCTAAAGGGCCTCTTCTATACTGTATGATTCTATAATCTGTGTTCTTCAAATATCCACTATCTTTTACAGACCACTTTCTACATAATGCAGCCTTACCTGTTTCCTCCCCTCACCCCATGGCTACAACTGAGGCTGGAGGAGTGACTGTTGCTTTAGTCACACTAGGCTGTGGGTCACAACATAAATTAAAAATACCCCTTCCACCTACCAAGATGATCATTACCTTATCTTTATCAATGTTAAACAAGATTTTTAAACCAGGTTCCAAATAACTGCAATTATTAGTCTACTGTCCAAAAAAAAAGTTAATGAAGATGCAATAATTACCAGCAACGTTTCTCCCTTGAAATGTTCCCAAAACATACATGAAAATACATGTATACTCCTAAGGGGAAACAAGGGGTGGGCGCGAGAGAGATTTTGTGTCAGAAGTTGGCTTTTAAAAAAAAAAAGTTTGGCCAAAAATTATTGTTGAAGGCAAAATGAGAAAGTGTGGAATGTAGCAGTTTGGCGCTCTGCTGTTTTGGCATCTGTGGTCAAGTAACTAATCACGCATGGTTGTCTTTGAAGTTTTACAGTCACAGCTTCCTCAGGAAATACAATATACAACATTAAAACATTCAAACAGATTTTACCTTGCACTCGGTAAGACGGTTTACTTTTCAGCTGTTAAAGAGACGAGAGGTGCAGCTTGTTCTTAGCAGGCTTTCCGTCAAATTCAGCTTGTACTTAGGCTTTCTTCTGATCTCAGCTTGTTCTTAGTGGGCTTTCCTTCTGCTCTCACCTTGTTCTTAGCGAGCTTTCCTTCCGATCTCCGCTTATTCTTAGCGGGCTTTCCTTCCGATCTCCGCTTATTCTTAGCGGGCTTTCCTTCCGATCTCAGCTTGTTCTTAGTGGCTTTTTTCCAGCTCAGTTTGTTCTTAGCGGGCTTTCCTTCCAATCGCAGCTTGTTCTTAGTGGGCTTTCCTTCCAATTGCAGCTTGTTCTTAGGGGGCTTTCCTTCAATTCAACCAGACAAAGCAAGCACCTGTAAGGCAGTCACTGTCCAAACAGCCGCAGCAAAGGAAACATTATCATCAATCGTGACATTTACAGGAAGCTTTGTTAATAAAAAAAATCTCTAGTGCTCACGGTAAACATTCAATTTCCTCTTTTAAAGAAATCACAGCAGGGAATTCTATGAAACACAACTAAATCCAATTTCAAAACTTATGATTTCTTTTGTATAAGATATGTAGAATCTTCATAACAGCACTTTCTTAGTTTTTGGAATAAAACCATGACTATATTTAATTTTAGACCAGCGCATGTTGGTGTTGACTCCATGGAGTCTTTATACATTCGAGTTGGGGTTGCCATCTATGTGCATCATGCTGGTACCATTTCAATGCTCACTTCTCAGGAATGTATTGAAATAGACTGTACTACAATGATACATGAGCAAAGTTACAATTGCTGAAGGATGAAAATGACTCTACTATATATTGATGCTGACTTTTCGTATTAGTGAGTGGGAAGCATGGCTATTAGCATTTGGACGTGGACTGTCAACCTCACCCTGGATTGTAATAGACATGGGCACTGCGGTTGCCAGACTTATCCTGAGGGATGTTCAGGAAGCAATGGAGCAGTGTGTTTGATTCCCATTGTGGATGAATACATGGGAAGCCTTCTTTCAAGATAAGACACTGGACATCCAAATTAAAGTGAAATGGTATGAGGCTTACCTCATGTAGGGGAACAGTTGACGACATAACTCGTTGGTATGAAAGTATGACTCAGGAGCTAGATATTTTTAATCAACTTGTTATGACACACCTCTGGAGTAGATGGAACATAAACCCAGGCCTTCTAGCCCAGAGATAGGGACGCCACTACTGTGCCATCCTTGGAAGGAGCATGGTAAGTGGCTGGGATGAGTTAAAATATCTGACAATAAATCCATAATTGGTTGGTTAATAGAATGCAGAAGTGAGTTTTACAGTGGAGAGAGATTTGAATATACTCGGAAATTATGAGTAACTTGGAGTAGGAGTAGGTACTCAAGTGTGCTCTGTTATTCAGTAAAACAATGGATCATCTGATCATTCCGTAATCCCAACCTTTCCCTACCTCCCCCACCCACTGATTGACATTTAACATAGAGAAACAAATGAATTCATGTGCAGACAAAAAAATCCACAGCATATGTTACTTAAGAGTATAGAAAATAATGTGGGTGAAAAATGAGAGAGATCTGAGGGCCCAGATTGACAATATATTTAAGCTTGCTGCTATAATGCACAATGACAGTGATGTGAAATTGCATTGAAAGGTTGAGCTGAATTAGTGCTATGTTGTAAATCATGACTCGTAGAATATTGCACACTGTTCTGATGGCCTCTGCACAAAGAAATAATATTGCAGCTATAGAAAGAGAGAGGGCAGAGGGTGACTAGAAACGATTGCGGGGATCAAAGGACTTGGTTTTGAAGGGCAATAATGTAGACTTAGGCATGTTCTCACTAGGAAAGCAAAGGTTGAGAGGTTGTATGTTTATTCATGTCAGGATTCTAAAAGGACCAGACAATAACAACCACAAGGAGCTATTTCAACTCATCCAGAACTCTGTCCAGAAGATATGTCGTGCACCATAAATGTTTTAAGGTGAGAGGGGAAAGATTTAAAACGTGTCTGAGAGGCAGCTTTTTCACGCAGAAGGTGCTGCGTAAATGGAATGAATTGCCAGAGGAAGTAGCGGAGGCAGGTACAATTCCAACATTTAAAAGACATTTGGATAGGTACATGGATAGGAAAGGTTTAGAGGGATATAGGCCAAACACAGGCAAGTGGGACTAGTTTAGTTTGAGAAATCTAGTCAGCTCAGACGAGTTGGACGGAAGGGTCTGTTTCCAGGCTGCATGACTCTATGAATAAAGTCAAAGGTAATGTGCAGAAATGACATTTGAATGAAGACGTAGTTGGCTGATTTACAGAATATATCTTCTGGGGAGACAACAGAAGCTATTGAATCAGAGATAGTAGGAACTGCAGATGCTGGAGAATCCGAGACAACAAGGTGCAGGGCTGGATGAACACAGCAGGCCAAGCAGCATCATAGGAGCAGAAAGGCTGACATTTCGGGCCGAGACACTTCATCAGAAAGGGGGGAGGGGAAGGGGGTTCTGAAATAAATAGGGAGAGAGTGGGAGGCGGATAGAAGATGGATAGAGGAGAGGATAGGTGGAGAGGAGACAGACAGGTCGAAGAGGCGGGGATGGAGCCAGTAAAGGTGAGTGTAGGTGGGGAGTTAGGGAGGGGATAG